TTTAATTTCTGATTGCTTATCACCATTTGACTCCCTACTTTCCAACAACACCCCTTCCCCTAATTTCTTAAATATTAGGGCAGTGATGGCTAACCTTTTTGCTATCACGTGCCAAAAGTGGGGGGGGGGAGCGTGGAGTGGTCATGCGCGTGCGTGCCCATACCCATAATTCAATGCGCCCCACCCCCCACGCATGTGCGTGCGACCCCCCTGTGCTCTCCCCGCTTTTGGCACATGATGGCACGATGGGCCCAGGAGGCCCATTTTTCACTCTTTCCAGGCTCCAGAGCCTTTCTAGGAGCCTGGGGAGGGCGAAAACAGCCTTCCCCACCTCCCAGAGGCCCTCCAGAGGCCGAAAACAGCCCGTTTGCCAACTTCTGGTGGGCCCGGAAGGCCCGAAAATCAGCTAGTGGAGTTGAGCTCGCGTGCCCACTGATACGGCTCCGCGTGCCACCTGTGGCACGTGTGCCATAGGTTCGCCATCACAGTATTAGGGTATACCGTAGATTCTATTATTTAATATTTGTAGGGCTGTTTACCCCCAAAAGAAATTTATTTCTTAATGGGAACAAAAGAATGCATTTCCTATTCATTCAAATTTTAAAATAAGATTGTTAGATGACAACGCTAGGATTTTATATGATTAACCTATTTATTTCATTTTAGGCTTTTTGTTGAAAAGGCATTTAACGCTGCACCTCTTCAACACAATAAGTTGCAGAACTAGCATTCTGGTGAGGTTTTTTTTAAAAAAATTGTAAGTATTTAACTACCATCTGCTGAGATGATAGGTCAAACAGAGAGATTTTTCAAAAGATATCAAATATTTTGAATTTAAAAAGCATTTTAGAAGGGTGGCCGTTTTTATTCTTTATCTCTGAAAGTAGAACTCACAATTCAGCAACCACATCTAACACAATGGAAAGGCTACGAAATAGTCCCTGGCAGTTTAATGTAGCCATTGCTTATATCAACGATTACCGTATTTTTCAGAGTATAAGACACACCGGAGTATAAGACGCACCTTAGCTTTTGGGGAGGAAAATAAGGAAAAAGCTGATTGGCAGGTGGATCGGCCTCCCGGAATACCCCCAATCAGCTGTTCCCAGAGGTGAATTTTAGCAACAGATTCGTTGGTTGTGAGCTCTGTGCCTTGCTTTTTTTTTCAGCCTCTGAAAGCCTCCGAAACAGAGCTTCAGAAAAAAAAGCCTCTGAAGCTCTGTTTGGGGGCTTCTTTTCTGAAGCTTCGTTTCTGATGCTTTTTTCAGCCTCTGAAACCTCCGTTTGAGAAGCTGGGCGGGGCTACAAGGGTGAAATGCTCCCGGTTCGGACCGGTTCGGCCGACCCGGTAGCAATCGTGGCAGGTCGGAGAACCAGTAGCGATGGTGGCGCGAGGCTCCGCCCACCCACCCAGTTGTCGTTACTTCCTGGTTTTAACCAGGAAGTAATGTGTTTTTTACCCTCTGTGCATGCACAGAGGTCCATGCACATGTGATGCGCGTGGCGCGTGCACTTCCGAACCGGTAAGGAAGGTAAGTAGATTTCACCTCTGTGTCACAGTCACTTTTTTCAGTGCCATTGAAACTTTGAGCAGTTAGAACCATGTTACTAACTTAACCGCAGTGATTCACTTAACAGCTGTTGCAAGAAAGGTGGTTAAAAAGGGGCAAAACTCACTTAAAACTGTCTCGCTTAGCAATGGAAATGTTGGGCTCAGTTGTGGTTATAAGTCAAGGACTACCTCTATTTTAACATTTTTCCAGTTATACCTTTTCTACATCTGCAGCCTTGTTATTTTTCAGGATTGTCACAGCATGTATAAACCCTCCTTTCATCAAGTTTTTCTTTAATCCTAATATTTATAACATTAGTCTCAGTTCTACTATCCCAATCCTTACCATGCAAATCTCTAAAATACTCCTTCCAGCATTCTCTCGATCCAGTTTCAACCTAAATTCCATCACTGTTATTTTTACTTCCATTCTCTTGGGCCGGAGGCGCCTTTTTTCCCTACTTCCTAACTAAAATTAATCATACCGAGACGAATTATAAAATACCTTATATCAACCGATGGAAATAGGCAATGTTACACTGTACCTTTGAAAACATTTGATTAGCTTGGATTTTTCAGGTAAATTTTAGATTGCAAGGTTGCTGGATCTATCACAATATATGGAAGATGAAAGCATATTTTTAAAAAATATCTTTTTAAGAAAAGATTGGATAACCATTTGTCTGAAGTGGTGTAGGGTATCCGGTCTAAGCAGAAGGTTGAACCAGTGGTGAAATTCAAATTTTTCTACTACCGATTCTGTGGGCGTGGCTTGGTGGGCGTGGTGTGGCTTGGTGAGTGTGGCAGGGGAAGGATACTGCAAAATCTCCATTTCCACCCCACTCCAAGGGAAGGATACTGCAAAATCCCCATTCCCTCCCCAATCCTGGGGGAAGGAGATTGCAAAATCTCCATTCCCACCCCACTCTGGGACCAGCCAGAAGTGATATTTGCTGGTTCTCTGAATTACTCAAAATTTCTGCTACCGGTTCTCCAGAACCTGTCAGGACCTGCTGGATTTCACCCCTGGATTGGACTAGAAGACCTCCAAGGTCCCTTCCAACTCTGTTTATTCTAAATCTAAATATTGTTTATTCTCACATGTTATTAATAATCCAAATTGTAATCTATTTAGTTCCATTTACATAATTCCATCAGTGAATGATTTACCCCTTTTATCAATACCGGTAGCCTTCAACTTACAACACTTCCTTTGGTGACTGTTCGAAATTATAATGGCGCTGAAAAAAATGACTTACAACCTTCACAACAGTAAAAGAAGAGAACAATAAACAAAGCAACAATGTCATTTCATACATTGCATGAATATCAGAAGCGCTCAGGAGGATGTTCAGCCAACACAACATATGTGCACACTTCAAACCCATTAAGGCAGAAGCTTGTCCACCCAAGGATAAAACATCCAGACACAAACTGAGCAACCTGCTATATGCAGTACAATGCAGTGAATCACATGCAGATCTGTACATTGGGGAAACAAAACAACCACTTCAAAAACGCATGGCACAACATAGGAGAACAAACCCATCAAGACTAGATTCAGCGGTCCATCTGAATTTAAAAGACAAAGGCCACTCTTCTGAAGACACCAAAGTCCACATTTTGGACAGAGAGGGCCACTGGTTTGGAAGAGGGGTCAAAGAGGCCATCTACGTCAAAACTAAATAGATCTCTCTCAACAGAGGGGGGGAGGGATATGACCAGCAGTGGGTTTCACATATTTTTGCCACCAGTTCGGTATGCGCGTCCATGCTTGCTTCATGCGCGCTTTCCACGTATTCGCCCGGCCTTCCACACATGTGCTTTGCTCATGTGCGCACCTTCCACGCATGCGCCCGGCCTCGAAAACATGGCTAAATAGGACGGCATTACCTCCGGGTGGGTGGGTGGGCCTACCTCTGGGTGGGTGGGTGGTGGGTGGGCCTACTCGCAGTCACTGCTACCGGTTCACCTGAACCGATCCGAACCGGCTGAATACCACCTCTGGATACGACAATATATCATCTATCTATCTGTCTACAACACAGTCCTTTCAACAGTTCCAAGAAGGTTCCACACCTATTTGCACTACTCAAGTGACACAGATAAACCTCCAAGTGGCCTCAACGACCCTCTAATAGAATGCAAATGACCAGCTGTCTGCAAGGAGTATAAATTCTTCCATTCCCCATCATCCAGTCAGAGCTGAAGAAGCTGCTTGGATGAGAAGCGAAACATCTTCAAAAGAAAAACCAGTAAGTCCTGTTGCTTCTTGAAAGCAAGAACTTGGGACTTATGACCGTTTTTCACATTTACGACTGTTGCAGCATCCCCATGGTCACATGATCCAAATTCGGTTGCTTGGCAACTGGTTCAAATTTATGACGGTTGTCATGTCCCATGGTCCCATGGTCACTTTTTGCGAACTTTTGACAAGCAAAGTCAACGGGGAAGTCAGATTCACTTCAAAGCTATGTTGCTAATTTAACAGCTGCAGTGATTCAGTCAACAACTGTGGCCAGAAAGCTAGTAAAATGGGGCAAAATTCACTAAACAGATGTCTCACCTAGAAAACAAAATTTTGAGCTCTGTTGTGTTCACAAGCTAAAGACTATCTCTTTATGAAAGTGTGTGCCAGGTTTGTTCTGGAACACAAGATTGAAAATCAATGTGAATATAATTTGAAAGTACACAGAAAATTTAGGGACACGGTGGCTCAGTGGCTAAGACACTGAGCTTGTCGGTCAGAAAGGTCGGCAGTTCGGCGGTTCGGATCCCTAGTGCCGCGTAATGGGGTGAGCTCCCATTACTTGTCCCAGCTTCTGCCAACCTAGCAGTTCGAAAGCACGTAAAAAATGCAAGTAGAAAAATAGGGACCACCTTTGGTGGAAAGGCAACAGCGTTCCGTGTGCCTTTGGCATTTAGTCATGCCTGCCACATGACCACGGAGACGTCTTCGGACAGCTCTGGCTCTTCGGCTTTGAAACGGAGATGAGCACCGCCCCCTAGAGTCGGGAACGACTAGCACATATGTGCGAGGGGAACCTTTACCTTTACCTCATAGAAAATTTGCAAGCCACGGTGAGTGGTTATTTGAAAGAACTCTTCGTGAATTATTGAAAGTACAAATGGGCAGACTTCAAATATGACTCATCTATTTTGATCTGGATTTTAATTAGGCCCAATGATGCACCGAAACCATGAACAGAATAAATAAAATAAGTATAAATAAAATAAGTATGAATAGGCAAAACCTCTAAGCAGGTTGTCTACATCCAGAGATTGGGTTTTAGCACAAAAACAAAAACGTACATACAGGTATTCCCATGCGGATGTGTTCAGATATATTTTCTGATTCTACATTCTCATATTGACAATTTGTAATTCCAATGTCTGAATGGTAGATATTAATTGTACGCTGCTTATAGAACTTTTCAGATTTACTCACAGACACTTTCCCATTACGGTTGGCTTCTTCCCTCTCCGCCAAGGCCTTCAGAAAATTATCTTTCAACTCTTTCCCAGCACTTGACAAAATTCTAGAAATGACAAAAAACCAGACAATGGTGTTTAACTTGCTTTCTTCTTGATCCAAACAACCCTTTAAAGCAAGGGGACTCCAACCTTGGTAATTTTAAGACTTGTGGACTTCAACTCCCAGAATTCTGGGAGGCTCAGGGAGGGTGAAAAATGGGCATACAAAGTTCGGGAAGGCTGGAAATGGCCCTGTTTCCGGCCTTCCTGAACTTCCGGTAAGCCCTCCAGAGGGCCTCCGGAGCCTGGGGAGGCCATTTTCATCCTCCCGGAGGCTCGAGGAAAGCCTCCGGAGACCAGGGAGGGCAAACATCCCCCCTCACCGTGGTACAGGCCGACTAGGCCACACCCACCATGGCTATGCCCACCCAGCAACCGGGCAGAGAGCCCCTTGCTAAAATTTTTGTAGCCCATCTCTGATTTCACCCAAGAAATTTGCACTGACTAATTCACATTTGGTCATTTTACCTATATATCTAAATGAAAAATCCCCTAAACGTTTACCTTTGCCCCTGTGGCTAACGGGGGCATTTTCATAGCAAACTACTACAAGGTTTGTCCCGTTATCTATAGCACAGTTGTTTTGCAGCACGACATGCAAGTTCCACCACACCTCAACGGCACCTGTGTAAACTTAGTAACCATTTGCTTATCTATCCCACGCGGCTTCAGCTAACTTTGCATTCCAGTAATTCTGTTTGGCTAGGATTCAATTTCTTTATTAGGACAAAATCCCTTATAAAAACCCCACCTTCACCAGAGTCATCATCTCATATAGAAGGTAGCTAGTTAAGAAGATAAGAAGGTTGGTAAGAGCAGTAGATCGCAAGGAATATTTGGATGGGCCCTAGGTAATTTTGGAGATCCACGTCTTCGCAGATTCTCTGGAGCAGGGGTCTCCAACCTTGGCAACTTTAAGACTTGTGGACTTCAACTCCCAGAATTCCTCAGCCAGTAAAGCTGTATGCTCTAATGATCAGAATTACATTAGGTATAAGATTTAGGCTGCCGATGACAGAATTCACGAATGATGGAAGGTACAAATGGTTATTTTGGTTGCTTTGCTATCTATCTGCTATCCCACTTTCCACATAGAATAGAATAACAGAGTTGGAAGGGACCTTGGAGGTCTTCTAGTCCAACCCCCTGCTCAGGCAGGAAACCCTATACCCATGATGGCAAACCTATGGCACGTGTGTCAAAGCTGGCATGCAGAGCCCTCTCTGTGGGCATGCGAGCCATTGGCCAGCTGAGCTGCACCGCGCATGTGCACGCCTCCCGCCGGCCAGCTGATTTTTGGAATGCGCGGGGGGTAGGGGGCATGCAGGGGTCACGCACGAATGCATGGGGGGCAGACATTGTGCTGGCCATGCCCATCCTGGCCACTAATGTGGCCCTCAATGAAATCGAGTTTGACACCCCTGCTATAGATCCATACAGTCACATAAAGACAAGAAATAAAACATAAACACTCCTTTACGTGAATTTTCAGCTTTGGCCCAGTCGCTTCACTCTTTGGCCACCTAATGAGAAGGAAGGGACTCACTGGAGAAGAGCCTAATGCTGGGAACGATTGAGGACAAAAGAAGAAGGGGACGGCAGAGAACGAGGTGGCTGGATGGAGTCACTGAAGCAGTTGGAGTGAGCTTAAATGGACTCCAGAGGATGGTAGAGGACAGGAAGGCCTGGAGGAACGTTGTCCATGGGGTCACGATGGGTCAGACACGACTTCACAACTAACAACAACAACATGTGAATTTTAGAAAACAAACACTGAAGCTTCAAGGAAATGGGGTGTGAATGCTTGTACAGGCAGTCCTCGACTTAACAACAGTTCATTTAGTGACCGTTCAAAGTTACCAAACAGCACCAAAAAATGTGACTTGTGACCCTTTTTTCACGTTTACGAATGTTGAGGCATCCCCATGGTCACGTAATCAAAGTGTTTTTCATTGAAGTTTCAAAAATGGACACCTTGAACGTAGAGGAATTTTGCCCATATGAAGCAATGAACTTTCCGTAACTACAAGAGACGCAAATATCATTTTTCAAACACCCAACTTGTATATGGATTGTGTCAAAGGAAAAGCTACTCTTCATAAATGACTAATTGGATTAGGAAGTTACTTTTTAAAAGAAAGTTAAACTCTTTACCGTTCGACGTTTTTTGGCCCAGGTTCAATGGAGAAAAGGGGCGTAAAACTTTTGATTGTGAGTTACATAATCTAATGTGCAGGAAATACCTTCGAAGGGGCCTTAATCCTGCGTACTTCGTTCTTTAATAAATTATTTTACAATAATTGTAAAAACTTACAACTTCGTAGGTAAAACTCTTAAGAAGTCAGGGCTGGTATGATTTTTTCCCCTCTTTTTATGCGGGGGTTGTTTTTTTTCAAAATACTTTAGCTGCTTATGTACTTTGTTTGAATGGTTTCCATGGTGATCACAGATTTGGCTGACAAGGAGAAATCGACACCTGACATAATATTGGCAACAGCCTTACAAACAGTTAACAGCAAGCTAACATCAATGTGGTCCTGTCATTTCTCCAATATTCACAAAAAATTAAAAGGTTACTTTATCAACTCTAGCCTAACTTAATTTAAAAAGGGGGGGGAGAGGAGGGTAATTCTTCTTCCATGCAAATAAAGAGATGAAAAAAAAAGGGGGGGGGGAGAAAAGTTCTTTAAAGCAAATATCACTACTATCTCTCTCTCTCTCATTTTCTCTTCTCTCTCTCTCATTCTCTTTCATTCTCCCTCTCTCTCTCTCTTTCTCTCCCTCTCTCATTTTCTCTTCTCTCTCACTTATTTTCTCTCTCCCTCTTTCTCTCATTCTCTCTCATTCTCTTTTCTGTCTCATTCTCTCTTTCATTCTTCCTCTCTCTCATCCTCTCTCTCCCTCTCTCATTCTCTCTTTCTTTCTCATTTTCTCTTCTCTCATTCTCTCTCATTCTCCCTCTCTCATTCTCTCTCTCTCATTCTTTTCTCTCTCTCTCATTCTCTCTTTCATTCTCCCTCTCATTCTCTCTCCCTCTTTTTTCTTCTCTCTTTCATTCTCCCTCTCTTTCTTTCTCTCCCTCTTTCTCTCATTCTCTTTTCTCTTTTCTCTGTCTCATTCTCTCTCTCATTCTCCCTCTCATTCTCTCTCTTGCTCATTCTCTCTCTTTCTTTTCTCTCTCTCATTCTCTTTCATTCTCCCTCTCCCTCTCTCATTCTCTCCCTCTTTTTCTCTTCTCTCTCTCTCTCTTTCATTCTCCCTCTCTCTCTCATTCTTTCTCTCCCTCTTTCTCTCATTCTCTTTTCTCTGTCTCATTCTCTTTCATTCTTCCTCTCTCTCATTCTCTCTCTCCCTTTCTCATTCTCTCTTTCTTTCTCATTTTCTCTTCTCTCTCTCATTCTCTCTCTCTCACACACACACATACACACACACACAGGCACCCAGCAATTGTATAATTAAATTATTAATATTAGTATTATAGAATCGTAGGGGTGGAAGGGACCTTGCAGGTCGTCTAGTCCACCCCGATCAAGGCAGGAGATCTTATATCATCCTGGTCAAATGGTTGCCCAATCTCTTCTTGAAATGATGGAGCATCCACAACTTCCAGAGGCAAGCCTAGTGAATTGTTCTCACTGTCAGGAAATTTCTCCTTACTACCAGGTTGGATCTCTCTCTTTAATAAGCTTCCATCCATTACTTCTTCTCTCGTCCTCAGGTGCTTTGGAGAATAGGCCGACCCGCTCTTCTCTGTGACAGCCCCTCAAGTACTGGAAGACAGCTATCATGTCACACCCTAAACCTTCTCTTCATTAGGCTAAAGATACCTAGTTCTCTTAGCCACTTATTACATGCATCTTATTTCACAGTAGGAATTTAGCTCATAAAATAGTATGTGCAGTCCCATTGGAACTTCTAGTAGAAAAATGATTATTTAAATATAGAAAGAAAAATTACTTTCTCATACAATTGTATCCTTGATGATGGATGAATGTTCTTTCAATTTTGTAGTATATTTCATTAAAAAAATGCGATACAGACTTATTTCCAAAACCACTTACACGTAATTCAAGAAGTAGAATGCATTTGTTGTTTGCTTGTTATTGTAATTTTTGTAATCTTTTCATGTATTTAAGTAAGTTGCCCAGAATAGTTGGAAACTGAGGAGCCTTAAAAATTGACCAAAGAAGGTAAATTAAAAAGCATAAGCAATCCCCAAAATCAATACTGATAACCCTCAATTTACCAACCATTCGTTTAGTAACCGTTTGAAGCAGTGGTGGGTTTCAAAAATTTTTACTACCGGTTCTGTGGGTGTGGCTTGGTGGGTGTGGTATGGCTTGGTGGGCATGGCATGGGAAGGATACTGTAAAGTCTCCATTCCCACCCCACTCCAGGGGAAGGATACTGTAAAATCTCCATTCCTTCCCCAATTCAGGGGAAGGATACTGTAAAATCTCCATTCCCTCCCCAATCCAGGGGAAGGATACTGCAAAATCCCCATTTCCTCCTGATCAGCTGGGACTCAGGAGGCAGAGAATAGATGGGGGCGGGGCCAGTCAGAATTTTTACTACTGGTTCTCCGAACTACTCAAAATTTCCGCTACCGGTTCTCCAGAACTGGTCAGAACCTGCTGAAACCCACCTATGTTTTGAAGTTACAACGGCACTGAAAAAAGTTACTTATGACTGTTTTTCACACTTCTGGCCGTTGCACCATCCCCTTGGTCATGTGATCAAAATCTGGATGCCTGGCAACCGACTCATCTTTATGACAGTTGGAGTGTCCCGGGGTCGTGTAATCCCCTTTTGTGACCTTCCGATAAGCAAATTCAATGGGGAAGCCAGATTCACTTACCAACCGTGTTACTCACTTAACAACTGCAGAGATTCACTTAACAACGGTGGCAAGAAAGGTTGTAAAATGGGGGAGAAAACCCACTTAACAAATCTCTCGCTTAGCAACAGAAATGTTGGGCTCAATTATGGGCCGTAAGTCGAGGAC